GATTTCCACTTTTTACAACGGGACCTCCACACCCCCTCCCCTCTCTGCCGCCATTGCATAATTCTCCTCTCTCGCGGAGATTATTTCAGGCCGAAGAACGGAAGTCAAGCGAAATGAAATACAACTTCTTACTCGGAACGAATTACTTCATTAATCACGGAACTTCTAAATTACTTTCTTTTTTTTCTCCTTTATTTCTCTCTTGCTCTCTCTCTCTCTCTCTCTCTCTTGCTCTCTGCCTCTCTCTCTCTCTGTCCCTTTCCCTCGCTTCTTGGTTCTGTCGTCCTTCTCCAGTTCGGTTGGATCTTTCCCAGCCCTTTCAGCTTTATGATAATTAACGGGAATCGGTTTCACGGGCCGCGCTAACGTAAATTAAAGATTATCTTCTGCTAATGCGATCGCGTAATCTACGAGTACTCCTTTTCTTTTTAATCGGTTCCCCTGTTTTCTTTAGCGGGCAAGAATATACGTGTGATTTTACAGGTGGCAGAACTCGAGACGTGTGTTCTTATAGTTGGAAAAATGATGTATCGATTTTCCGTTGATTAATTCCGTGTTATTAAGAACGCAGATTTCAATCTTGCTGAATTTAATCGACACGTATTGAATAATACATGAATCAGGTAAACCTATCATCAGACTCTATTTTTTAAATATTAAACCTTTGACCTATAGGTCAAATAAATAGGCAGACTCGTGACGAAAATTATCAAATGAATTTCAGAAATCCTCATTTGTTTTAAATAGAAATTTCATGGTACTTTTCTGTTGTCGATCGTTCACTTTTGGAGCAAACATGGAATAAGCATGAATGCTTCTTCTTTTCTTAATAAATTACTAATAATTACTAAGGATAGCAGTTGCATCGATCATACATAAGAAACTAGACGCACTTTGCGTCTTTTCTAGAGCTTTGATAATCAATTATTTCTATAAAACAATTCGAAATTTCATCATCTACGGTTTTCCTCGCGATACAAAGATAACAAGACGGTTCCAAGAAACGTCTGAAATAATTGGATCGACGCTATCGGAAAAGCTCGCGTAATCATCCTCGCGTTCGCTAATTTTTAAGGGATTTACTCCCTTGTCGGCTCCAATAATCGCGTAATCATTTTTTTTTTAATCTCGCTGACTCACGCGTCGGATTAAGATCGTCGGAACGCGACGGAGCACGATCCCGCGAGATACAGATCGATCGAATCGGTATCGATCGCGGAAGAGATGCCGGCGGGACAGTGCGTTCCGCGAAGATTTCCGCGGAGCTTGCGGTAACCCGTTAAATTATAACACGAGTTCGCGATTTAATTTCAAAGTTTAGACTCGCGGTCCACGCGATATAATTCCCAGTCCTCGGGCTTTGTTCGAACGAATGCCTGAGTCCGTTCTTTACTCTTGCCGGCCAAGAACCGACGAAATTGCTTCGCGAACAGCAAACTCCGCTTCGGCCAGAAAAATTACTATGAGCAGCGAAAAGATTTAGTCCGTTGATCGGTGAGTGTCTCTGAAATTTGCAAGAGAATTTCATTCGAATTACCGATGGAAAATAGGAAACTAGACATTCCGTTCGAATTGTATGAGAAATAAAAAGTAAGAAATTCGATTAAAATTACAGGTGGAAAATGAGATATTTTATTGGACTTACCGATGAAAAATTAGACGCAAGATTTGTTCGGATAACAGATGAGAAACAAGAGACAAGGAATTATATTCGAACAATATTGCGAAGAAGCGAATCGAGAGAGTATTCGTTGAAACAGGAATAAATTTGAATAATTTTCATTCGTCAACCATGTAATTGTTCGAGCGAGTGAAGATAAACTGTTCGAATAAACAGACAGAATAACCTGCCGTGAAAAACAAGCAATCGACCGTCCGTTTAAAGCGTTTGATTAACGAGAATTTAGCTGGTTAATCGTCCCGTGTAAATGTGTACCGAAAACAATTCGAACGATACACAACGTCGACTCGACAAACGAGATATCTTCCATTAATCGGGCGGAGGCTTACGCGAGCAATTCTATTTTTTTTCGTTAACAAGCCGCGAGATATCATTACCGTCATCGCCACTGAACAGCGACTTCTGCGCCAAACATTGATAATCTCTTGTCTCCTTCCTTTTTCAGAATTTCTGTTCTCGAAACAAAAACCGATAACGAGTCATTAACGATCGCTGGTGAAACACGTTTTCTTTGTCGGTTTTATTTCCTGCTTCGGCAATTAAACGAATTTCCGTCTTTTTATTCGTCCGGTTTACGGTGTGTCTCTCGTGTTTTTCGTATCAAATATTCACGACGGTTTTTAATTCGACAGGAAACACGTGCATGGCTGTATAACCCGTTCATTAATAGTCGTTCCCCCTGGGAAACGGACATTTTTATATTTGCCTGGAAGCCGCGTGCAAATTAGCTGCCGAAAAACCCATCAATCCATCAAACACAGTTAATTTTTGTTATTATTAATCTCCTGTTTTCAATTACGAATGACGAAAACCGAGTCCGATCGTTTCCCGCGGAAAACCTCTCGCGAATTTACCGGCATTTCGCGCGAGAGCCGTTAATGCTCGCCTTCGGAGCCAGTTTTTATTTTGTATTTATCTTCAGCCTCGACTTCCGCTGGATTTAACACAATCCGGTTCATGAATTTCTTTGCTTTTATTAATATTCTTCTCGTGTTTCCTGTTCCCCTCTCTCGAACGACGTTTACGAGTATCCTTGAATAAATGCTGATCCAAATTGTACGTATACTACGAGGTAAGTATTAGAAACTGTTCAAGGATACACCTTCCATTTCGTATCTTCCGTAAATTGACACTCGAACAAATCCAATTTATTTAATTCGTCTCGCGATTCTATACACCGTGTACTGTAATAATCGCCAATCGCCCGCGAAAACGGTTTTTTTTTATTTCACGTCTGCTTTAGATCGATAATCAAATATACGTTCAACAAATTTTTCTCGCCATGTTCCTGCTACTATCAACGTCACGTACTGTACAAACATTTCTCGATATTTATATAAATTACTCGGAAACACATCGATGTGGCGCTAATAAATAATATCTACCACATATATCCACAAATCGAACGTTAATTCCATCTCAGTACCAATTCATGTTCAAACCTTTTGAACAAAAACTAAGACCAAAATAAATCTAGCGTTCCTATAAAATAACAAAACTTTCCAAACGAAAATACTCAGACATCAATACCAAAAACTATCAATTTTAAAATGAATGGAACTACTAACTTCCAGCAAATAAGAAACGGAAACTGAGAAACATTCGCGACACGAGTCGCTCAGAAGCTAGTGTAGTTAAGTCCAATTTCCGGTATTTTCTGATTTCCATGCATCTTAATGGAATAAATAATATCCTGTGCTCCTTCCTAGATCAGAAAGCCCTTTTTATAGTTTCCCAATATACTGTATAACAATCTCACAAGCCAAAACAAGAATTTTCCCAAGTTTTCTTTTCTAGACTTAACCGCATTGTCTTCTAAGCGACTCAAATACGAACTGGATCTTCGCTGCGATCCGATCCAGCCCATTCCACCCCGTACGATTTTCCCCAAAGAATCACATATTCATCAAGGACCAAGCTTCTTGCGGGAATTTTTCGTGGTCGCATCGGTATTGTGCGCACGCGCCGCGAATACTGCACAGAACGGCTAAAGAGAAACGGAGAACGAGTTAATAAACGATCCAAGGCGGGGGAGGTGAACGTGAGAGCGCGGGAACTCCCGGAGAAGAAAAAGGAAAAAAACCAGAAGAGAGGAAAGTGGAGGAAGAGGAGGAGAAAGAGAAAACACGGCTGACACGGTGGATTTGCGTTCAAGAAACGTACCGGTACGTATCGGACTCTTCGATGATTGCGAAACGTCGCTTGGCAAACTTCGACGGAGCTTCGTTAAATTTGTATACGGACAGCGTACGGTCGTCGTGGCACGATTTCTCTCGCGACCCCTGGCCCCGCTCGCTGCCATTCACGCGAATTTTTAAATACACCGCCGCGCCGGAACGTTACAAAACAACTGCGGAAACGAAGATGATCCACGCGTCGTTTCTCGGTACTTCATTGTTTCGTTAACCCATTGCCGCACGCTAATAGAACTACCGTACCAGTAAAAATCACTGGTTTCGATTGTTTTGTTTCACAATTATTGATATCTTAACCTTTTGCACTCGAGAGGTGACTCTCAGTCACCACTTGATTTGATTTGCAAAATTATAAAGTCTTATATATAATATTAAGTATGATGCATCAATATGTGGAATATTGAAATAAAATAACTTTCCTTCGTAATTTATATATGTTTCCTCATTAATTCATTTCAAACATCGTCTGTATCTCATCGGAGAATATGGAATATGTTCAATGAAAAACTTTCGAGTGCAAAGGGTTAAAAGCATTGAATATTCGAAATGATCTTGAAAATAAATAGCTTCGACTTGAATACTATAATGAATGTTTAAAGAAACCGAAAATAATCTATCGTTAGAATTTTTATAGGGATTACATATCAGTCGTATTAAATCGGTAGTTTTAGTGTTAAAATCGTGCCCGGAAATATAGTTATCAACAATCTCCTCTTCTAATAATCAAAACAAATTTAACGCTAAAACCACCGAGCAGTTAAATTGACTTTGAAATTCTTCTGTGGAAACTCCAAGAGTGCATCTACTGATACTTCAACTGATTTACTATTCAGTTTGAGTGCTGCTACATGAGTTTCTTACATAATTTCTCAGAAAAACGTCTGTATCTTTTTAATAACTTCGAAAAGAAGAATTCAGGAATGGATTATGTGCACCCGTCTGGTAGTTTTAGTGTTAAATTATCCAACATCTTAATCGAATTCACAATATCTTCAACTATGTCTACTCCTGGAAGATATCTTAATGTCCAACGAAACGACACACTGTTTTCTTTATACCATTGTTTATTTAACACATTGGATGCCATGGTCACCGGTAACCTCAAACAAATCGAATTACTATAATTCATTCGATTAAACTATTATTTGAACCCTTTTCTATGTTAGAAGTAATAACACGTAAAGCAGTGACATTCGACAAGAACCTGCAATAATAATAACGTAATTCAATTATATAAGTTGATGCCACATTATTCTCATTTTGCACATTTTTCTCGACTAAATCGTGCGGCACTCAACGTGTTAATTGTTTGTTTTGACTTGTTCATGAAAAATTGTACACAAAATCAACTTACATGGTATCTAGGCTGTTACGTCATTTTGTTCAATGTATTATTAAAGAATAAAAGAATAAATGTATTAGTACAGTCCGTAAAATGAACACGTTAACCGCCACGAGAATTTTTAGCGTTATCACTTATTCTGTCGCAACGAAGGCAAATGGTATCCGAATGGATTAAGAAATCGAATTAAATCGAAGTACTATAGTTCATTCAATTATGATTATTTGTAAACATTTCTATGTTATAAATGATGCTACCTAATGCGGTGGCATTCAACTAGATCAACAATTCAATCAAATGAAATATTACATTTTTTCCATTTTGCGTATTTTAATGAGTCGGTACCATTAGCTTTTGAGTTACACTATTATTTAGTCACACGTGTGACTAAACATTTTCATTTGACACTAGTTTGGTTTGTGGCAACCAAAATGTCTGCGTTTAGAATTCTGGTGTTACAATATCTTCTACATTATAATATTTTTTAAGGGAAAATCGGCAGTGTTCAGAAATCGATGTAAGAATGTTTAAACATAGATTCAATGCAATTTCGTCAAATTTTCATGAGAACAGTTCGCGAAATAATTAATATTTCGTATAAAGTAAGTACACTGAAATTTAAAGGAATAATTTCCGAGTCAGTAAGGTGTTAACACTTTGACAATTGCGCCACCGAAATTCAGCTGACATAACTATTTAAACAGTTATAGCTTCTTTCTATTGCCTTACTCTTTTCCCGCAACTTTTATGCGCTGCGCTGTTACAATAATGCCTCTACTTTGAATTTTAATGCATCTGCGCGGGGACGTTAACGCTGACACAGTTTCAACGATCAACGAGTGACATTTTCGGTAAATGTTCATCGACAGATTTGCATCCTCCTTTTCTACCATCTACAATCTATTCCTCTAAATATACTTCAATAGACAGTGGATTCTATTTCATAATTCTACCATACATCACAATCTTCTGGCCTGAGATTTCTCCACAAGAGAGGATCAATGCACACCGGTTCCAACATTACAAATAACGAAAAGCAATCGGAATTTCCCCGGAATTCCCCTCTTAATCTTACAAATCACTTTCCTCTAACCATCGACATCTCTAAAACCTGATTCAACCGGATCTCCAAACGAAGCTAGCGATTCGATACCATTTCCGAAGAAGTTACTCACCAGCGACAGCGGTCATGCCCCACAAAAATCGCAAAACTCGTC